CTAAAGGTCAATAGCAGAGTAGAAATCAAAGTCTGATTATAAAGCCCACACATTTCTTATTCTGCTTTTTTTGGGGGGGTGGCTAGATTCATACTTCAAAAAATTTTTTTCTTTAGCAAGAGTAATGTAATAAGTGTACTGTTTAAAGGAGATGAATTTCCTATGTATGTACAGTGTACTTGAGAAACTGGAAGTAAGACACCCGTCCTTTCTAGAAACTAGAACTGAATACTTAATAAATAATAATCATATTCAGGAAGGGGAACCACTTTCTCAGGCTGGCCATCATGAGGTCAATTATTTCAACTAAACTTATATAGGAGTGCTTATTTCAACAATGGAGAGAAGCAGTAATTTTCAAGACTGAAGACCATTCTGATTTTTTGTGACCATATACAGATCATTATTCTAATTCTCTTCACAGAACTGTATATTGTTAGAGGTTAAAATACAGCTTGTAAAGCCAAACAGAGAAAGACAAGTATCATATGATCTCACTTATTTGTGGAATATAATGAACATAATAGTCTGAGGAATGGGGTTGCCCCAGAGAAGTGGAAGTGGGGTACAGACTATCCCCAGAAGAGGGGGTGGCGGGGGAGATAAACCACAAAACTTATATGTATGTATGCATGAACAATGGACATGGACAACAAAGCTGGGGGGGGGGGGGAGGGGGAATCAGTGGGGGGAAAAAGGAGAAACATCTATAACAAAAATAAATAAAATAATTAAAAAAAATAAAAGCAAAAAAAAAATTCAGCTTGTAAGCAATGTTTTCACACAGAGAATTTGGTACTATTAAGTTATTTAAAAAAAATTTTTTTTTCCTTTATTGATATTTAGAGAGAGGAATGGAGAGGGAGAGATGGAAACATGGATGGGAGAGAACATTAATTGGTCACCTCCTACATGCCCCCTGACTGGGGATTTGGCCCACAACCTGGGCACATGCCCTGACCAGAAATCAAACCGGTGATATCTTGGTGCATGGTTCAACACTCAACCACTGAGCCACACCGGCCGGGCTAATATTATTTTTCTTTATTGATTTTAGAGAGGAAGGGAGAGGTAGAGAGAGAGAGAGAGAAACATCGATGAGAGAACATAGACTGGCCACCTCCTGCATGCCCCACTGGGGATTTGCCCCACAATCTGGGCATGGGCTCTGACCAGGAATCGAACTAGTGACCTCTTAGTGCATAGGATGATACTCAACCACTGAGCCACACCAGTCAGGCTTATTAAGCTAACTTTTTTTTCTTTTCTTTATCCTCACCTGAGGACATTTTTTTTGCATTTATCTTCAGATAGAGTGGGAGGGAGAGAGGAAGAGAGAGAGAAACGTCAAAGTGAGAGAGACACATCAAGTGGTCGCTACCCACACAACCCCAACCAGGGCCGGGGACAAACTGCAACTGAGGTATGTACTATTAGCAGGAACCGAATCTGGGACTCTCCGGTCCACGGGCCGAGGCTCTAACCGCTGAGCCAAACCAGCCAGGGCTTAAAATAATTTTGTTTTAGAAATAAACTTTTATTTTTTTTATTAACTTATTTTTGTTACAGATGTCTCTCCTTTTTTCCCCCATTGAAAACCTCCTCCCCATCTCGCCCGCCTTGTCCTCAGCTTTGTTGTATGTGTCCATCAGTTATGTGTACATGCATATAAGTTCTGTGGTTTATCTCTTCCCTCCCCTCACCACCCCCTCTTCCGAGGGTTGTCAGTCTGTACCCTACTTCCACGTCTCTGGGTCTATCCAATTCCTCAGACTGTTATGTTCATTATATTCCACAAATAAGTGAGATCATGTGATATTTGTCTTTCTCTGCTTGGCTTGTTTCGCTTAGGATATACTCTCCAGGTCCCTCCATGTGGTCTCAAAGGATAAGAGATCTTTCTTTCTTACAGCTGCATAGTACTCCATTGTGTATATGTACCACAGCTTTTTTATCCATTTGTCTACTGATGGACACTTGGGATGTTTCCAGACCTTAGCTATTGTAAATAGTGCTGCTATGAACATGGGGGTACATATATTCTATCTGATTGGTGTTTCAGGCTTCTTAGGGTATATTGCTAGAAGTGGGATCACTGGGTCAAATGGCAATTCAATTTTTAATTTTTTGAGGTAACACCATAGTGTTTTCCATAGTGGCTGCACCAGTCTGCGTTCCCACCAGCAGTGTACTAGAGTCCCATTTTCTCCACACCCTCGCCAACACTTGTTTGATGATTTGTTGATGGTGGCCATTCTGACAGGTGTGAGGTGATACCTCATTGTTGTTTTAAGTTAATTTTTTAACATTTTCCCATTTTTGTTCAGATAGAGTGGGAGGGAGAGAGCAAAGAGAAGGAGAAACATTGACGTGAAAGGGACACATCTAGTGGCTGACTCCCACGCATCCCCAACCAGGGCCAGGGATGAACTGCAACCAAGATATGTGCCCTTGACTGGAATCGAACCTGACTCATTGGTCTGCCGGCCCTTGCTCTAACCACTGAGCCAAACTGGCCAGGGCATGTTTTTTTAAATAAATAAAACTTATTTTAATACTAAAAGTAGGAGTCATACACCACCTGTAAGTTAATGTGAAATATGTTTTTAATGAAAAAAAAGTATGGAGAAGAACAAATGCCAGCCTCTGTAAAATGAAAAAGAATAAGACATTCTGTATAGAATTGCATTCAGGACTTAGAATAAAAGTTCAAATTGGGGGGAAAATAAATTTTAAAAACTGAATGTTTTTTGGCAAAACATTTTGACTCATATTATACATTAAAACTAAAATTACTGTAGAGTCAGTGACAAATTCTATTAATCTGAAAATGATCTCCTCTGCAACAATGCATACTATAAACTACACCTGATGCTTTAGAACTGCTTAGAGCGCTCCCCAAACATCATCCTGTTCAGATTATCTCCCCCAACCCACAAATGCCCTCATCTGCCACCCAACCCCTTGCTTTTAGGTTCCAACATATGTTTCAAAGCCTAATTTATTATCTGCTTTCTTTGACCTCAACAATTTATTCATTATGGAGCACCTGCTACCTGCTGGGCAGAACAGATTTGGTCTTGCCACCACAGAACACAGCCTAGGAGCTGACAGTGAATAATTACCAAATGCAGCCCTGGCAGGTTTGGCTCAGCGGTTGGAGCATTGGCCTGCGGACCAGAGAGTCCTGGGTTCAGTTTCCTCTAGGGGCACGTACCAAAAAAAATAAATATAGCCCTAGCCGGTTTGGCTCAGCGGTTAGAGCGTCGGCCTGCGGTCCTGAGAGACCCAGGTTCGGTTCCCGCTAAGGGCATGTACCTCGGTTGCAGTTTGTCCCCGGCCCTGGTCGGTTGTGTGGGTGGCAGCCACTCGATGTGTTCCTTTCACATTATGTTTCTCTCTCTCTCTCTCCCTCCCACTCTACCTGAACAAAAAATGGGAAAGTGTCCTCGGGTGAGGATAAAAAAAAAAAAAAAAGTCAATAACTACCAAATGCAGCCTGGCTGGAGTGGCTCAGTTGGTTAAGTGTCATCCCGTGCACCAAAAGATCGCTGGTTCGATTCCTGGTCAGGGCACATGCCCAGGTTTCAGGCTTGATCCCCAGTAGGGGTGCGTAGGAGGCAGCCAATCGACATTTCTCCCTCACATCAATGTTTCTCTCTCTCTCTCAAATCAATAAAAACATTTAAAAAATAATTACCAAATGCTATAAACAAAATGTGTATGGTGCTATGTAGAAGTATAAGTATAAGAGGAACTAACTTAGATTGGGGGTCCAGAGAGGCATCTTTGAGGAAATATTTTGCTGAGGTCTGAAGGATGAGTAGGAGTTAGCTGAGCAAGACTGACCAAGCATTGGAGAGAGATTGACAGGTTAAAGCACTGAGGAAGGAAGGAGAGTAGCTTCAGTAACTGAAAGGAGCCCATGTCTGGAGTGCAGGGTGGCAGGGTACAAGATGGGGAAGCCTTAAAGATTATCTTTAGCTCTGTGACTATGACTTTCCCCTAGCCTTCCTGAGGTGCCTCCAAGCTGGGTCAAGAACCCTTCCTTTGGCCCTGGCCACTGTGGCTCTGTGGTTAGAGCGTCAGCCTGTACACCAAAGGGTCTCAGGTTCGATTCCTGGTCAAGGACATGTACCTGGGTTGCAGGTTTGATCCCTAGCCCCAGTTGGAGCATGTGTAGGAGGCAACCAATCAACTTGTCTCTCTGACATCAAAGTTTCTCTCTCTCCCCTTCTCCTTCCCTCTCTCTAAAAATCAATGGAAAAAATATCCTTGGTGAGGACTAACAAAAAAACAAAAACAAAAAAACCCTTTGTGCATCCTCTGTGTTATACTAGAACAGTTTCTGGCAGGCTTCTTTATTAAATTCCAAAAGGTAGAGATTATCTTAATTTGATTTTAGACACAATATGTCCACAATAATCAAGAGTTTTGTTGATCCAAACCAAAGAAGTCAGAGGACTCATTTCTTTCCTTGGCTTTGCCACCAAGTTGCAGAACAAACTGGGGCCAAGCCTGTGGATCCTCTGGACTCACAACCATTTTCAAATCAATGGTGTCCAAAGACCTTGACCAGATGTCTCAAATTATGCATGTGCTTCCTCAGGGTAACTTGTTTATCATCTCTAGTGGGCACAAAGTACAGAGAGTTGAGTTAGGGTCAAGTTATGTGTGAATTTCCCTTAGTTTGTTAATTTACTTTGAGAAATCCTTACTGTGAGCATATATGCACTTTATGAAACAAATCAACTAAGTTCAGTTCTCCTAACTCATCAATTTGAATACATTTTGTCTCATTCCCTTCCCCATCACTGGAAGCTATTTCTTCAGTTCAAAATTAAATTTGGACAGGAAAAGAAAAATAGTAAGTTTCTAAAAATAACTTTTATCCAATAAAAAATGGATAGTTTTGAATTTCTTCCAGTAGAAATAAGAAAATCCCAATACTTCTATTCTGAACCACAAATTCCTGGGTGATTAAAATAAATTCACAGAGTTAAATTGAATGGTGATCAACTACCAGAAAATAAACACCTACTTTATTAATACAATGGCAACAGAAAGGGTTTCCAGTTTCTTAGAAGAAAAATAACATGAACCAGCACCACCTGGTGTTACAAGATTAAACGCCCACATTTATTATTCTGAGAGCTCCCTACCACACTGATGTTTCAGCAAAGACAACTACCATTAGAGCTGCTGTAAGAGCACAGGTAGGTTACAGTCAAGAAAACACTAAACAAAAGAACACTTAAGTGATATTATTCCTGTTTTAGAAGCTTAGAAGCTCCTGGGGTGGAGAGAACTTATCAATGTGGAAAATAGTCTTGCTTCTTGAATTCAAGAAAAACCATGACCGAACCTATCATTTTTTCTCTGATACAGTCTGCCAGAGTACTCTGTGAGGAATCCTTTTCCATTCCTGCCACCATATCTGGGTGAGAGGAGAGGAAAGGGTGGAAAGGTGCCAGCATACTAACAGGTGGTTCGGGCGATGTTCTGCACTCCGCTTCCTTTTTGTTGGCAGTAGTAGGTGTCTTTTCTGGCAGCTGCAGCAACTTGATGAGGGGAGAAAGAGGTCACCCACCAATCACCTCTTCTTGAAGCCGTATTTTTTACGTTCATAGAAGAGATCTGTTTTAGAGCTCCCCAAATTGACAATCTTTGGGCAACCATCTCTCTGGAAAACAGAATAGAGAAGTTGTTAGGTCTCTGAGCCTATATTGAGAGGGCTTTAACATAAAAATAACTTTGGGATTAATGGTCTTGCCATTTTAGTTATCCTATTCCATCAATTATCAAGAACTTATTGCCCGGACCGGTTTGGCTCAGCGGTTAGAGCATCTGCCTGCGGTCCAGAGAGACCTGGGTTCAGTTCCTGCTAAGGGTTTCCCGCTAAGGGCATGTACCTCGGTTGCAGTTTGTCCCTAGTCCTGGTTGGTCCTGAGGGTGGCAGTCACTCGATGTGTCCCTTTCATGTCGATGTTTCTCTCTCTCTCTGTTCTTCTCTTCCCCCTCCCACTCTACCTGAACAAAGAATGGAAAAATGTCCTCGGGTGAGGATAAAAAAAAAAAAGAACTTACTAAGTACCTAGAATGTGCCCAGTGCCTGTCTACCTGCAATCCAGGGGTCTGCACTTAAAATATCGGATTCTTAGCCCAATTCTGTTGCTAATACTTATGGTATAATTGAAGTAGGATCTAAAACTCTTACGATGTCCAAAGGGTTTTCTTCTAGTGAAAAGTAAGAAAAGGTAACACTCATCTACAGATCAAGCTCTTCCACTATCCCAAGGAAGGAGAGAATACCACCAAGGAAAAAAACCTAAAGACTTTTAGGAAATAGTACTTTATATTTTAAATATCACAAGAGAATACAGGGTTTGATATGCCCTTATTAACTCACTTAATTTGACACATGGTCTTGGGGGAAGAGTGCTACTGTGCCAGCGATGGCTGTTGACAGTACCTACTCTGATTTGTAATGATATGCTCTTCTGGTCATTTTGTGAGCTTGAGTGGTTTCAGTGAAGCCCCTGGGAAGCTGTGTTCTGCAGAAATGATGACTCCATCAGTTGATTTGGAATGATGGGAGGAACACTGGGGGAGTTGTTACTGGAAAAAACCTTCACAGGTCTGATGATTTTATTAAACATCCATGTCAAAGGAGGTTGCTTCCTGTGACACTGGGCTATGGAATGAATCAATGAAGCCCTCAGACATCTCGTTTCTAATTCAGCTGACTTCTTTTTTCAGGGGCTAATGTCAATACTACAAAAATATCTGAAAACACACAAAGCCACCCTGGCCAGTTTGGCTCAGCGGTTGGAGCGTTGGCCTGCGGACCAGAGAGTCCTGGGTTCGGTTCCTGCTAGGGGCACATACCAAAATAAATAAATAAGCAAGCAAGCAAACAAACAAACAAAACAACACCAAAAAAACACACAAAGCCAACACTAATATTTCATTATTTTCTAGAAAACATGTGTCACACTGGGAACTACCATCGTGCTGAGAGAACCAGGCTATGGGCCCAGCCCCATGAATGGCTTGCTAGGTGAACTCTAAGTAGCCTGACATTAAACACAACAGTATTCTAAGACCTTTACAGATGCTATGAAATTTTGTGGTATGATGATAACCTGTTTAGGCTTATTGTGCTTTACTGACTTGTGCGACTGTGGGCAAGTCACTTCTCTTTGGACTTGTATTTCTCAACTGTAAAATAAGTAGACCGGTCAATGTTTACAAACTTGTATTTACTTAGTCACAGAGTCCTGGAGGTGCCACCCTAATGTGTGCAGCTCCCTTCTCACTCATAGATGAGGTTAAGACAGTAGGCTCTGGAGCTAGGCTACCTGAATTTTGTTAAATATTAACCTCCCTGTGTCTGCTCAGTCACATATACACTTGCAGAACCTACCGCCTAGAATTAAGAATCAATAAATATACTTAAAACGATGTCTGGCATATAGTCAGATGTTAGTAAGTTATAAGAAGTTGCCAAAAACAAATCAGCAATTTCATAATGGTTCAAACACACACATACACGGCTTTTGTATAAGTTATTTTTGTGAAGACAGGACTCTACTTTTTTTTTTTTTAATGTTTTCATTTCAGAGAGAGTTAGGGAGAGGAAGAGAAGAGATATAGAAACATTGATGATATCTGGCCAGTCTGGCTCAGCAGTTGGAGCATCGGCCTGCAGACCAGAGAGTTCCGGGTTCGGTTCCTGCTAGGGGCACATACCGAACAAAAGAAAAAGAAACATTGATGAGAGAAATACAGATTGGCTGCCTCCTGCACGCCGCCTACCAGGTATTGAGCCCACAACCCAGGCACGTGCTCTGACCCGGAACCAAACCGGGGACCTCCTGGTTCCTGAGACGATGCTCAATGTTGTCCTTCTTCCGTCAACTGTTTAATGAATACCAATGACATAAAAACCAGACTAGCCCTGGCCGGTTTGGCTCAGTGGTTAGAGTGTCCGCCTGCGGTCTGGAGAGACCCGGGTTCGGTTCCCGCTAAGGGCGCATACCTCAGTTGCAGTTTGTCCGCGGCCCTGGTTGGGTCGTGTAGGTGGCGACCACTCCATGTGTCCCTTTCGCGTCAATGTTTTTCTCTCCCTCCCTCCCACCCTATCTGAACAAAATATCAAAAAATGTGCTTGGGTGAGGATAAAAAAAATAAATAAAAACCAGACTATACACTGGTTTGGGACCTACAAGTAGGATCACATTTTCTATCTAAAAGTTTATTTTTAAAGACCTTCAAACTCTCAGTAACTGCATCCATGAGGTAACAGGGTTTATTAATTCCTTTTTGTAGAGTTCCTCAAAGCCTAGTCCTGAACATGGGCTTTCTGCCTTCCAGTCTGGTTTTTTTTTTTATCCTCACCCGAGGACATTTTTTGATATTTTGTTCAGATAGAGTGGGAGGAAGAGAGAGAGAAAGAGAGAAACATCGACGTGAAAGGAACACATCGAGTGGTTGCCACCCACACAACGCAACCAGGGCAAGGGATAAACTGCAACCGAGGTACATGCCCTTAGCGGGAATTGAACCCGGGTCTCTCTAGACTGTAGGCCAACGCTCCAACTGCTGAGCCAAACCGGTCAGGGCTGGTATTTTTTTTTTTTATCCTCATCCGAGGACATTTTTGCATTTATCTTCAGATAGAGTGGGAAGGAGAGAGAGAGAAACATCAATGTGAGAGTCACATCGAGTGGTCGTCACCCACATGACCCCAACTGGGGCCAGGGACAAACTGCAACCAAGGTACATGCCCTTAGCAGGTACCAAACCAGGGACTCTCTGATCTGGGGGCTGATGCTCTAACCACTGAACCAAACTGGCCAGGGCCAGTCTGGTATTTTTTAACAGGATTTCACAGAGGCAAGAACCAAACTTTCCACATGGTCTAGGCAGTTAAAGATGATAAATTTCTGAATTAACTTTGTAAAGAATCAATTATTGTTTGCATCTAATTGCTCTGCTGTTCATTGAAATGGGGAGACGAGAATGGTAGAAATAGCAGAGTGAGAGGCCCATCTGTAACCACCCTAAAAACAATATAGTGAGGTGGTAGAATTAGGTGCTTTTACACCATGCATCCTCAAAGGGGATGAAAACATCTTTGACATTATAGTGGTATATAACCTAAAGCTCCTCCTAACCCAGCAAAATCTTATTCCTTAGTATGTAATTCCCCTTGTTAGGGAGAAAATTTAACTGAATTTAAATGTTAACTTTTCTCCTTGGGGGGGCAATATAGAAAAAAAAAAGTTGAGAAATACTCAGAGAGACCTGGATTCTAGTCCTAGATCTGCCACTTATTAGCCATGTGACCTTGAGCCAAGTTGCCTAACACTTCTAAGCCTTAATATCCTCATCTATATCACACAGAATTTTTTGAAAAGAATGTTAGGCATAGTACCTGGCACATAGCAAAAACTCCCCAAATATTAGCTGCTCTTTTGTTTTCTGGTTGGGACAGCTGAGCAAAATGGTAAGTAAAGGAGTAAAGGAATCAAGGATTACAGGGGAATCAAGATGCTGCTGCATTAGAAGAAACTACAAATTAGTCCTCTGGCAGCAATGGCCACAGGTATTATCCCAGACTCCTGAGTATTATCAAAGCTTTGAAAAACTAGAGAACACCCAGCTTAGTTTATTGATTTCTGCACAGGAAAAAGTCTTAGGCACTTAATCTACATGGTGATCTGTAAGGCTGAGAGTCTGGATCATGTCACTTGACTGCTTTGTGTCCTTGGAAACTATGGCTGAGTAAATGTAAGCTAGATGTCATCTCAAATGTCCTCAGAACATTCCTGTATAATGTGAAGTAGGGGAAATGATGTCCAGAACAATGATCAGGGACAGAATGAGGAACGAGGATCCAAAGGTATCAGGTCACACACCACATGCAGATGAGTCAGAGCAATTAACATTTATTAAGCACTCTCTGGTTATATGCTTATACCAGATAACAACTCCAGCTACAACCATGAAAAAGTTCAAGAAAATAACCTTAATGGACTCTACCTAGTTTAACATTATTTATACTTTCCTCTTCACTGCTGTCTTACCATAGTTTCACTGCTTATAGACTATAAACAATTACCAAACAAATACTATATACCAGAAAACCTGTAGAGGAACTCCTATAGAAGACTTATAAGGGCATCACCAAAAATGTGTCTCATACTTACACTACATGCCTGGCACTGTACCAAGAAGTGGGGAAAACGAGATCCAAATACACAAACCAAGATCTTTTTACTAAAGGAGTGGAACCTAGCTGGTGGATCAGAGAAGCAGGATATGATCTGACAGCCAGAGGTAAATAAATGCAAATCACAGTTTAGGTCAGGAGAAAGTTCAAATCACCAACTGAAATTATGTTTGTCATACTTTATCTATGACCCTTCTCTTCTCCCTAAATAACAGAAGGCTTAATTAAGTAATAAATAGTCTTATCCACTTACTGGGGATAGACAGGATCCAAATGCACAGACTGCTGAGGTGACTGGGTTGTTCTCAACAGGGGCACATTTAACCAAAAAGATTTATACCCTAGTGTTGGACTGAGCACTGAAGGGTTGATTCCCGGTCAAGGGCACTTACCTGGGTTGCAGGTTTAATCCCCAGCCCCAGTCAGGGTATGTTCGAGAGGCAACCAATCGATGTTTCTCTATCTCTCTTCCTCCTTCCCTTTCACTCTCTCTAAAAATCATTGGGAAAATATCTTTGGGTGAGGATTAACAACAACAAAAAATATTTATGAAAGGACAACTCAGGGTAATGGGGACACCAACTAGGTTTAGTCAGTCTGGGCTTGCCACTTATTAGATGGATGAGGAACTGTAAAGTGGGGATAAGTTATTCTAGTTAACAAAGTTATTATGAAGAATAAGGGAGATAACATCTATAAACTATCTACTTTTTGCTCATGATAATATTATTAAGAATTACACATTTTTTTGCCTTCTCCTAGATCAGGTAACCAGATACCTTCTATTAGCCTATTGGTATTGTATCACTTCTTTTTATTGTGTCACAAGAAGAAAACAAGCTGATTCACAGGGTTCCTCCCCACCCCCCAAGAAGTCTGCTAAAGAAAAATGGTAAAACTCACCCTTACTATAGCTCTGTAAGCCCTCTATCCTTCTTTTGGTTCAAAGAGTTAAATAGTTACTCCACCACATAATGTCAAAGGCCAAAAATGTCATGAGACAGAAATCAATCCCACAGTATCAAACCAAAGGCATTCTTTAACTGCTTAAAGCTGAAATCAACTTGAATCATCCCAAATTCAAACATCACTACCTCCACCCAAGCAGTCCTTAATGACAGTAAAGAGAATTACTGAGTGGTTATTATACACCATGCACTGTGCTAGGACTTACAAAATGCAGGGTGTTGTTTCTGAATAAAAATAATCAGAGACATCAAAGGAATAGAGAGAGGGCTCTTCAAATTGCTGGTGTGGACAAAGATTTGCTTCTTTTGCATTTTACCCTTGATGGAAAATAACTGCCTTTTATTGGACTACACCCAGTTTGGCTCACAGAATTTGACGAAATTATAACCTAGGTGACTAGCTGAACATAGTAATCTCCACAGACCATAGGAGTTTGCCATGGTTGGCAAAGTGCTGTTAAATAAAAGATCAGATGGGAAGTTTAGAATACACTCACATCTTTCTCCTGGATGGTGCACTCCTTACAATAATAGGCATCAGAGACTCCAGGGCCTCCACAGATCACACAGCGCCCCTGATAAGAGCCGTAGTTACACTCATCACATATGCGCACCAGAGTGCAGGGGCGCACATAGGAGTCACAGATCACACACTTGCCATCACCTGTGTGGAAAACAGAATGGAGTTATGCCCACTTGCAAGTCCTTGTCCTCCTCCTGTTATGGGGAGAAACACCAGTCTCCTTTGGACAGTGACTTTAGGGCCTTCTACTTTGGCATTACAAAACTTGGCTTACTTGGTCCATCTCAACCTCCACAACACATCGGAAAAAGTTAATCAACTAACGAGTGCTTAGAACAGCACCTGTTGGATAAGTACATATAATTACTGGTAAAAATTGTGTGTTGGAGACAGGGGTCATGCTACTTCCTGTCCAAAGCTACAGATTTTTCTCAAAACCTAAACATAGTGTCTAAAATGTGCAAGCTGGAGTAGGGAGGTGGAGGAGGCTTTTGGTTGCAGTCTGGCATTCAGTGTTCACGTGCTTCTAGTAATAGCTACTTAAAGCCCTCTTTGTGGCCCCACAGGAAATGCCCGTTTGCTGGCTGCACAGAAACTGAGTGCAAGGGGTGGGGTGTTTGGGAAGGCGTGTTCCACTCACATTTTTCACACAGTCTTCCGATGGCTGCAAAATCAAAGACGGTAAAAAGTACAATTAGAATTAAGATTTTGACGAAGAGGGGAAAAACATCCTTGAGCTTGGAGTGGGAACAGAAGCAGGGACTGAAGTGAGCCCTGAGCGATCTCATTCACCTTATCCTCATAAACTTTCCAAAGGCACACCTTCCTGAAGCCCTTCCCAGGTCCTGGGCAATCTGTCTCTCCGGACCCCACCCGGGCCACCCGCCTCTGGCTCCCCGCCCTCTTTTCATTGGAGGCCGCAAACCGCGCTCCTACGCTACTCGCGGTGGGGCGGGAAACGTGGAGCCCCGAGGTAATACTCTAGGAATAGATGGGAACCCTTGACTCCCCAACTGCTACTACTACTCCCACCCAGAGAGCTGCGGGCATGGAAGCTGTCTCACCAACACCAGCCTGCTTGCGACAAAAGATCAAGTCCGGGTGATGTTTAGCCATAGCTCGCACTCAAACCGGCCACCGGAAGCTTCGGGAACTTCCGTTCGACCTTTTACCCCCATTGTTCCTGCCTCCTTGTCGCAGTGATTGGTCCTCTAGGCTTCCATCCGTTCACAATATTTGCACCAAGCACCGCTCGCTCTCGCGGGATCAAAACCCTTCTGTTCCAAAGAACAGTTTCCATCGTAACTGAGGAGCCAAGTCCTGGCAGCTGTGTGAAAAAAAAAAAAAAAAAAAAATGCCTTTGACCGGTCTGGGGGGAAGAGACAAACAGAAGTATAAATATGAAATTTGCACTTCGATAAGACATCTTTGTGCGGATATTTACTTCTACAAATGTTTTATTTATTTTTAGTCCTCACCCAAGGATATTTTTTCATTTATCTTCAGCTGGGGGGAAGAGGGTCCGGAGAGGGAGAGAGAGGGAGAGAAACATCAATATGAGAGACACATCAACTGGTTGCCTGCCCACGACCCCGACCAGGGCCTGGACCAAACCGCAACTGACCGCAATCGAACCCGCGACTCCGGTTTGCGCGCTGACGTTCTAACCACTGGGCCAAACAGGGGAGGCATACTTCCACAAAGGTTTTAATGCAGCTTTTCCCTCTTCCAGGTTGGTTTCTGACAGAGGAGCCCCGCCCACTGCGCTCTCGAAGCTCTGCCTTCACCCTGACGCCTTTCGCTTCAGGCCACGCCCCCTGCCCGAAGGCTTTAAATACGCTGTGTGGCACGTCACTTTCACGCGACCTCATCTTTGTCAGTGTACAAAATGGCGCCTTACAGCCTCCTGGTGACCCGGCTGCAGGTGAGCGAGCTCAGGGCCCTCTGGGTTCACGGGGGCGGGGTGCCTCCCAGTATGCTTGCGGCTGTGGGCGAGGCGAAGCCAGGCAGGCCCGACCTGCGGTGACGTTTTGTGTACCTGTCTCTCTGTGGGCCCAGCGCCCGTTCCCGGTCCTCCAGCGCCTGAGGTCAAGGCGTCCCCTCTCTGTCAGCTCTCCCAGCCCTGTCCCCGCCCCGCGGGAATTGTGGGTCTAAACTGTGCCGGCTGGGTGAAGAATGGAGGCATCTCTCTTTTTTGAGGACCGCACTGTCCTTTCCCGTAGGGTTTCTTTTCGTTTCTCAAGGTGAGGACAAGGTGACTGGGGTGTATGGGCGTGGTAGAGCCGGCTAGGCCCAGAGTCTGAAGGTCTCACTTCTCATCTCTCAGCAGCAGAGACTTGCTAGCCAGGTGCATCTACAGTTGCCAGGCCTGGAGTCTGGAGAAGAAACTAGTATCCTGCTGCATCCTTTGAGGATTCCGCGGAACACATAGCCAAGAATGAAAGGGGGTCCTTCCGGCCCCAGATGTAGTAAATAGTGATAACAGTAATTTCTCACCTTTGCACAATATTGCAAGACTTTTAATTCCTTATCATATTTTGAGTTATATAATCATCTGGTGAGATGACTATTCTCATTTGATAAGTAATAAAACTGCTAGAAAGTAGGTGAAAGTTACTGCTGTCACTGAAGTGGCCTGAGCATCTTGTCCTTTGGCTCTTCTGTTCAACTTGTTCATGTCAGCCTGTCTTCACAGAACTTTGTGAGCTAGAGTGTGATTTTTGAGCTAACATTTGTATTTTTGAGTTTACCAGAATGGAGTAGTTTGAGCCCACAATTAGTTGCTTTTGGATTACTGGATGGAAGGGTAAAGAGACTCAACAGTTTGACCTTGACTCTCCTGTTACGAACCATCTAGAAAACTGACTATGACTGCCAGATGGGTTTTTCACTTCTAACATGACAGCCCTAGAAAGGTGTTATACACAAAGGTTCAATGTCACGCATGTATTTTGTTAATAAAATCAAAGCAATTACTTATAGGCATTCTCTGAAAATCTTTTAACTTTGTGAATCTACTTTGAATTGAGTGGCACAACTTTGATTTAAAAAGAAATTGTTACATGCTGTATTCAAGAAGCATTGTGTTACTATAAGTTTTTATTTTATCACTTTGCTTAAGTTTAAACCATATGGTTAAAGTGAAATCATTTATCTTAAAGTAGTTCTGATCTCTCAGTTCTGAGCAAAGACAAGGGATTTTCCCTAGTTACCTCTTCAGAGCTTTTGACTTTCCAGGTTAACACTGTGGAAGAACCGTAGTTGTTTCTTCCTGATCCTGCTTTCCATGATGTAGTAAATTAAGGAAAGATTTTATTTAAGATAAATAATCATAGATTTATTGAGGTTGGAAGAAAGGACGAATATAACTGTTAAAATTTTTTCTTTTTCATTATTGATTTTAGAGAGAGAGTAAGGGGGAGAGAGAGAGAAATATTGATGAGCGAGAACATTAATTGGCCACCTCCTGCATGCTCCCCATTGGGGATTTGGCCCACAACCTAGGCATGTGCCCTGACCGGGAATTGAATCAGCGACCTCTTGGTGCATGGGTTGACGCTCAACCACCGAGCCACACTGGCCAGGCATAACAGTATTTTTGAACTGAAAAAGGATCTTGGAAACCGTGAGTGTTAGCCCAATATAGAAAGAGATTTGGGCTATGGTTCATATTCTACCCTGACCCTGTGACCTTGAACAAGTTACTTCTGTATCCTAGTTTCCTCATCTGTCGTTTGGGAATTGCCTTCATTGACAAATGTTTATTTAATACTTGGTGATTGGCTTCCATTCAGATAGTTATGATTATTGTTATAAAGTTATGAGAAGTACAATCTATTTGTTTATGATCATCATGTAGTCCAACTTTCTCTTTTACAGACAGACAAAATCTAAAACCCTGGGTGACTTCCAGGAACAGAGTTAGGATTAAAATTCAGATCTGTTTGTTCATTAAGCTGAATGAACAGCATTATACCACACTGCCTGCCTCCCAATAGCCAGGCTATGTTAAGTAATGGCCAAATGGCCAGCTAACACTGTCCTCTGAAAACCTTGTAAATTGACCTCTTTTTTTTTTTTTTTAAATCCTCACCCGAGGACATTTTCCCTTTTTTTTTTTTTTATCCTCACCTGAGGACATTTTTCCATTTTTTGTTCAGATAGAGTGGGAGGGGGAGAGAGAGAGAGAAACATCGACATGAAAGGGACACATAGAGTGGCTGCCACCCGCACAACCCAACCAGGGCCTGGGACAAACTGCAACCAAGGTACGTACCTTTAGCAGGAACCGAACCTGGGTCTCTCTGGACCGCAGGCCAATGCTCTAACCGCTGAGCCAAACTGGCCAAGGCTACCTTCACCTTTGGTCAAGGGCAAAATAAAAATATTTTGACTGGCCCTGGCTGGTTTTGCTCAGTGGTTAGAGCATTGGCCTGCAGTCCAGAGAGACCCAGGTTCGGTTCCCGCTAAGGGCACATTCCTCGGTTGCAATTTGACCCAGGCCCTGGTTGGGTCATGCGGGTGACAGCCACTCGATGTGTCCCTTTCACCTCGATGTTTCTCTCTCCCTCTCTCTCACTGTTTCTCTCTCTCTCCCTCCCTCCCTCCCTCCTTCCTACTCTATCTGAACAAAATATCAAAAAATTCCTCGGGTGAGAATAAAATAAATAAATAAAACAAAGGTAAAGGTAGATAATAGAATGATGGCAATTACTGTATCACTAAGAGTAGCTAAAATTTACCTTACTATGTACCAGTAATCTCACATGACCCTGCGAGATAAGGCAAACCTATTAGCCCTGTCTTACAGATGAAGAAACAGGGTTAGAGTAGACACAATGTAATGGTTAGGAGCATGGATTCTTGCATCATGCTGCCTTATTCGAATGCTGACTCTGATACTCACTAGTTGTCACTTGGGACACATTACTGCACCTTTCTATTCCTGTTGCCTCACTTGTAAGATACAGATAATAATAGTACTTCAGACTTAATCTAATAATCATATTATAGTTGCAAAGTATTTAGAACCCCGCCTGCATGTAGTAAGTGTTATATACTTATTAGGTAAAATAAAATAAACTTGCCTAGGGCCTTATCACTAACAGATGTCATTTGAATTGGCACCTATATGTCCTGGAGGTCCCAGCCACTGCACTATACTGATTTCCTTTGGCATCAAGATTCAGCCTGTTGCCCAGGATATCATTAACGCTCCATAACCTGAGAACAGTGCTGTTTAAGTTGAAAGTGTTCTATTATTTGACAGTACCTGCTCCCAGGTAGTAAAATTAGAAACAGAGTGAAGAAATGGAGGTGAAATATTTGAAAAGCCACATTTACTTTCTGGTTTTTATTATTTTTTTTTAAAGCTTTTTTTTTTTTTTTTTTTTATCGTCACCCGAGGATATTTTTCCATTTTTTGTACAGATAGAGTGGGAGGGAGAGAGAGGAAGGAGAGAGAGAGAAACATCGACATGAAGGGACACATCGAGTGGCTGCCACCCGCACGACCAACCAGGTCTGGGGACAAACTGCAACCGAAGTACGTGCCCTTAGCGGGAACCGAACCCAGGTCTCTCCGGACCGCAGGCTGACGCTTTAACCGCTGAGCCAAACTGGCCAGGGCTGGTTTTTATTATTTTTTTGTGTAAAGGGCTATGGGTGGTAAATAAAAGGAATTTGCAAATACATTTCTTAGGTCTTTGGCTTTACCTTGTGGTACTGGGGTGCTGAGTTTTCATCATGTGACATTGGGATGCCACGTAACCTCTGTAAATCTGAGATGGCAGTTAACCACAAAGAAGTCTGACCTTTGGCAGAAGTTAAGTTAAAAGTGCCTCTATAGCCCTGGCCGGTGTGGCTCAGCAGTTAGAGTGTTGGCCTATGGTCCAGAGAGTCCGGGTTCGGTTCCTGCTAAGGGCACGTACCTTGGTTGCGGTTTGTCCTCGGCCCTGGTTGGGTTGTGTGGGTGGCAGTTACTAGATGTATCCCTTTCACGTTGATGTTTCTCTCTTTCTCTTCCTGTCTCTCTCCCACTCTATCTGAACAAAAAATGGAAAAATGTCCTCAGGTGAGGATAAAAAAAAAATTTGTGAATAGTTTCTGGTATTAATTTAGGAATGGGCTATTTCTTTTCCTTTTTTAAAAAAAATATGATTTTTATTGATTTTTTTTTTTTTTAGAGATAGAGGAAGGGGGAGAGAGAGAGAAATATTGATGAGAGACAAACATCAACTGGCTGCATCCTGCATGCCCTTTACTGGGCATCGAGTTGGCAACCCGGGTATGTGCCCTGACTGGGAATCGAACTGGAACCTCTCAGTC